GGTGCTGGCTGAGGTGCAACCTGGCGGCCACCAGGACACCCAGGTCCCTCTCCACAGGCTCCTACCACCACGCACAGGAAATCAAGCTGAAGGGAAAATAAAAACCCCCCCCCCCAAAGCCTGCCTGCACTGAGACAGGAGCTGCCCCACACCCCCTCCTCTCCAGCCCAGCGCCCCACAGCACACCACCGCGCTGCTCCAGCTGCCTGCCCACGCACAGCACGGCCAGAGCCTCCTCACCTCTTCAGCCATCTCCAGCAGGGCCTTGTTGCTGCTCTCCCAGCGAGAGCGGTACATCGTGGTCTCTTTCTCCAGCTTCTTGATCTTCTTAGTCATCTACGGAACCGTGGTGACAGAAAGGGAACAAATAAGCCACAGGCAGAGCGCTGCAGGCAGTCACACCTCAGGTGTCCTCAAACGGGCACCGGCCATCCCAGCGCAGACAGCAAGGTTCTGCTCTCTGGAAACGTCTCCTTGCCACGCTCCGGTCAGCGTCACCAGGGGCAAACACTGACCAGGCAGCAACAAACCAGGAGACAGGGCAGCGCTGATGGCTGATTTTAATACCAGCAAAGCTAAACAAACCTACAGAGCTGCGGCTCTTCCAGCTCGCGGAACATCGAGGAGAGACAGACAGGCAGTGCCTCCACCCACGCGAGCTCTGCGGGGCAGCAAAAGCATTACCCACCTTCTCCATCTCCTGTTTAAATGTCGTGAACACTTCACTGCTTTTGGAAAGGGTGTTCTGGAATTCTTCAAACTTCTCTGTGTAGAGAGCCAGCTGCAGGGAGAGAGAGGGTTACGGCTCCTCGCTGCTCACCACGGCACCTCCTGACGGCTCTCCCCAGGCGAGGGGGGACGTCAGCCAAGAACGGAGCCCGTTACCTTGCGACTGGACTTCACAACAAACAAACCGGCAGCGTGGAGCTGCTCTGCTAGCAGTGGGGACTGCAGAACGTGGAAAAATTCTTTTTTAGGGAAACATCCTCAGAGATGGATGTGTTCTGCAAACATCTCCTGGCCTTGGCAGGAGGTATTTGCTGGGTCTGATTCAGCAGGGTATGACCACACGACTGCTCCCAGTCCTGGGAAATGTGCTGGGGAAAACCAAGGCCCCTCTCTCCCAGAGGCAGAAGGAAGTCTCAGCTCGCCCCGTGCTGGCATGGGCTCACCAACACCAAACCGAGCAGCAATCCTGGCCCTGTGTTTTCCAGATTATGGAACTTGGTGTGGTTCCCACTGAGGGAGGAAGGAAAAAACCCAACCAACCAGGCTGAGAACAGAGAACGGGTAACTCACCTGCTGCTTGAGGTGGGTCTCCTGCTGCTTCATCAGCTCACACATCCTCTGCGACTCCACAGCTTCCTTCAGCAGCTAGGGAAGAGCAAGAGCAGTTACCT